CTAGCTATAATATATATATATATATATATATATATATATATATATATATATATATATATATATATATATCATTTGGTATTTGAAACATAATTCTGAGAAAAACTGTAATTAGCATTTCGTGCCTTTTTTCTTTCTCTTCAAAAGATCTTTTTTCAGTTTTCTTTCTAAGTTCCTGGAAATGTATGATCATTATTCATACATATTCAAATATTTCCCGAGTTTCATGAGGGCATCACATATATCATTAGCTTCGAAGGCTGAGTCAACATTAGCAAGGCAAAGAGCAAAGAAGTCTTGGTATTTCAATTTTGTTCAAAGAAGAGGTGGTGGTTCCTTCAGCCTTATTTATTATCTTGATGGAGAGTCCTCCAATCAAACTCAATTCCCAAACACTCAACAATTATTAAGTTCCTATACATGTATTATCTGTATTTATATATATATATATATATATATATATATATATATATATATATATATATATATATTAAAATCCTTCATGAGTTTTATGAGGGTATTACATATATCATCCAGCCTTAGGTTGAGTCAACATTGGCAAGGCAAAGAGTAAAGAAGTCTGTTGATATTTCAATTTTATTCAAAGAAATTAGAAAAGGGAGATTCACTTAACTATATTTATTCTTCGAACTCATTTGTGTTTAATGTCATTTGAGTTTTATTTATTTTTAATTTTAACAAAAAAGTAAAATAATGGTATGAATGTATTTAGTTTGTGCTGTTTATTTATTTAGCGGCATAAGCAGTGGGCACCGAAGCAAAAAAAAGGGATGATATCGATTTATTTTTAGCATCACTCGAGACAACTTGAGGAAAAAAAATGAAATATTTCGGACAAAGCAAGAAAAAAATTCACAAATAGCAGTGGGAAATAGAAAGCATCATCCAAGTGGCATGCACGAAGTCGAGTCATTGAGGGCAGCTTTATTTTTATTATGAATAATATTATTATTCCATTTTAAAAGTCGACAAATATTAGATAATATTACAAAAGAATCAATATTTTAACTTTCGATAGGATAAAGAGTAGATTCTGAAGATCTGAAAAATATACTGCATAGAGCTAAATGACTTTAAGAATATTATTTTTTAGGTTAAGCATATTTTTTGGAAATATAGGTTAAGCATATTTATGAACGGTTATAAAAGTTATTCATAATAATATTTCTGCAGTTACGGCAGATAAGTTATCTGCATTTACTTCTAAAATAATTTTGTTTTGAGATTGAAAAATTAAATAATTATAATTATAAAGACTATAATAACTCTGAATTAAATTAAAATTATAAAAATAATATGATTTCCACCCCAAAACGACGTCATATTAAGCTTACTACAGATAACTTATATACAGTAACCGTAGAAAAAGCGAACCTAAAATTATTCTCTAAATAAGCTATCATTTTGAGATTTTCAAAATTTGGAATATAACATAAGAATGGTCATAAAAATTATCCTCTAAATAAGTTTATATCTCGGGTCCTTCATAATTTTCAAATATATTATTATCCCACTTGCAAAAAAAGTCATAACAAATGAAGTTGTAATTCAATTTTAGGGTAAGGATTATATTTGAAACTCAATTTTGATATCTTTTGAGTAAAACCAGAGCTTTATATTTTTTCTTAATGAAATGATTTAAATAAGTCATAACAAACTCTAAAAAGTTTGATGTAAATAATTGAATTTTCATCCTTATTTTCTAATTATTTATTCCAATTTATTTAATTTTTTTTATTAAACAACCGACCTTTTTATCCTAACTCACTTCTTCAGCGTGAAAAAAATATATTCATATCACTTGCATTTGTTTATATGAAACATTATGTGTTTTTATCCTACAAATTTAATTTTTTTAATTTAACTTATATCTAAAAAAGTTCCAATTACTTAAAAAGGAATTACATTAAAAACTTATCAAAAATCTTTCGAAAAGGCATGTGACGAAACATAAAATTCTACATTTATTTATAATATAACATTTGCAAATCTCAAGAGAATTTTATGGCGACTATTCAATATTTTAAAAAATTTATTCCAGATTAAAAAATTATGATAATTCTTTAAAAATAAGGCAAACTCATTGCATTGAAAATGTAAAAATATATATATATATATATATATATATATATATATATATATATATATATATATATATATGGGATAGGATCAAAAATTATGGTATTTTTATAATTTTAATTTATTTCAGGATTATAATAGTCTTTATATTTATAATTTTTTAAGATTTCAATACCAAAACGATATCATTTTAAAAATAAATGTAGATAATTTATTTGCAGTAACTGCAGCAACAGTTTTTCCAAAGAAAAAAAGAAAGAGAGTGCTTTTATGTTTCCTTCTCATGTATAAACAAACACGTGTTGTATGGGCAGTGGTCAATTTGATGTGGCTGTACAACATTACAATACTGTACTACACTACCATACTACCTCATTGCACTGTCTTTTTCACTTCTTATAAAATAATATAAATATCTAATACTAGCCAAAAAAATTATCCTCTAAATAATTTCGAAATGAAGTATCTTCATGATTTGAAATGTAACACTATTCTAATAGTAAGTAAGAGAATGATATCTATTGGTAATTCATTTATATGAATGGTACCAATCATGTTTGAAACATATATAATTTTGATATTCGATTAGCTAAAATCCAAGTTTTATCTTTTTGTTTTTAAGAAATGGTTTATATAAATCTTAATAAGCTCAACAAAAACTTGATGTAAATAATGGAATTTTTATTCTTATTTTCTAACTATTTATTCCTGTCTATTTATAACGTTTTATTGAACCATCACCTATATTTTTTTCCCAATTCATTTACTTAAAGTGAAAATATAATCATGTCACATGCACTTGTTTTTTATGACATGTGATAAGTTTTTTTCTTACAAATATAATTTTAAATTCTTTCCTTTTTAAGATATTTAATTTTACTTAACTTTAAGTATGAACTAAATAAAAAAGGGTTTACATCAAAACGAATTTTTCAAAAATCTCTCCATAAGCCATGTGGACAAATGAACTTCTATTTGTATATATAATAGACGTGTAACTCACATGAAAATTTTATAGCAACCATTTAATGCTATTAAATTTTTATTTCAAATTCGAAAATTTATGGCAACCATTTAATGATATTAAATTTTTATTTCAAATTCAAAAATTTATGGTAACTATTAAAAGATGGGGAGAACTCTTTCCATTTAAAATATAAAAAAAAGTGCTTTTAAGTTTCCTTTTCATGTATAAACAAACGCGTGGTGTACTACATCATCACAGTATCTGTACTACATCATTTCACTGTCTTTTCCACCTCTTGCAAAAGTATAATATAATATGTATGTATAAAAAAAGGTAAAATCATTTCTACAGCCGCTTTACATACAACAACGACTGATGTATGGTTATGATTCTCTATATTTAATGCTTTCATCCTTTGTATGGTTATGATTCTCCGCGTTTAATGCTTTCAAGTATATATGTCAAGTATTTGATTATTGCACGTACAGCAGCTGCAGAAATGTAAACCCCATAAACAAATTATAATATAATATCTAGTACTAGCCATAAAAATTGTCCACTAAATAATTAGTAAGTAAGAAAATGATATCTAATGAAGTTGTAATTCATTTATATGCACGGTACCAATCATGTTTGAAACATAATTTTGATATTCTATTAGCTAAAATCAAAGTTTTATCTTTCTTTTTTTAAAAGAAATGGTTTAAGTAATTAAATCTTAATAAGCTCAACAAATCTTAATGTAAATAATGGAATTTTTATTCTTGTTTTCTAACTATATATTATCGTCTATTTTCTAATGTTTTACTGAACCAACAACTATTTTTTTCCCCAATTCATTTACTTAAGGTGAAAAAAATAATCATGTCACCTTCACTTGTTTTTTTTATGACATGTGATAGATTTTTTTCTTACCAACATAATTTTAAAATTTTTCTTTTTTAAGAAATTAAATTTTTTTGCTGTTGGTAATTTTAAGAAATTAATTTTATTTAACAATAAGTATGAACTACATAAAAAAGGGTTTACATCAAAATGAAATTTTCAAAAATCTTTCCATAAGTCATGTGGACGAATCATAAACTTTTATTTGTATATACAATTTTTTTGAAAATATTTTAATAATTTGTATATATAATAGACATGTGCAACTCACATGAAAATTTTATGGCAACCATTTAATGCTATTAAATTTTTATTTCAAATTCAAAAATTTATGGTAACCATTTAATGCTAATAAATTTTTATTTTAAATTCAAAAGTTTATGGTAACTATCTAAAGATAGGAAAAACTCATTCAATTTATAATATAAAAAAGAAAAAGTTCACCGTTATCCTTGTGATTTGCCTTAGAATCACCTATATTCCTGTGATTTTTTTTATCACATATGCCTATGTGATTTGTAAAAAGTAAAAAACCACAGGGACATATGTGATAAAAAAACATATCCTTTTACAAATCACAAGGACATATGTAATAAAAAAACACAGGGACATATGTGATTCTGAAATAAATCACATGGGCATTGGTAAACTTTTCCCTTATAAAAAAAGGGGGAAAATATTTATCCTTTTAAATGACACAACTTATATCCTTTCACTCTCACAAAGAGTGGGGCCCACACCTTTATTTTTTTTTCAACTCTCTCTCCTCCTCTATCTATCTCTTTCTCTATCTTAACATGACATAATTTTACATCCTTTAAAATAACACACACTTTTCCTATAAAAAAAAAAAAAAAAAAGGAAAAAATGAGTGTTTTTATGTTTCCCTTTTATATGTAAACTAACACGTGTGGTTTGGGCGGTGGTTGTTTTTTTTTTTTTTTTTCTGGCTGTACTACACTACAGTATTGTATTGCATTGTTGTACTACCTTTTTCATTGCTTATAAATTCAATTTTCTTACTTTCTCAATACCATCTTTTCTTCCCCTGCAATGCTAAAGCACTCTATGGTATGTTACTTTACGTCTCGCTCTAATTTCTTTTCGTGTTCTTCTTGATAACTCTATGACTGTGTGCTGTTATTGGCTTAAAAACTGTTCTTCTTCTTAAAAATTATTGTGCAAAATGAGTTTTAATTTTAGTCTAGGGTTTATTTTTCATTTGATTTTGGGAAATATGAACTAGGAAGTGTTCACCACATATACCATGTTTGCTCACAATGATTCCTGAGTCAGTGACATTCCTTTCGTCAATTCAGTGTGGGGTGGTTTCTTTATAGAATTATGTAATTTGTCGTTGTTGCTTTGTTGTTCTGTAATGGTGTAAATGTATATGGTTTGTATTACTCGCACAAGCTTTTTTTTTTTTATCAAAGATTTGTTGCTAGGGTTTGTTTCAAATCAAGATGAAGAAATTAAATTTTAATTATGTCTCATTATCTACATTTGTAAAAAGTATGCGTATCTAATTGTGCATTTACATATTATATATCTTCATCTTCTTTATGGTTGATTTGTGTTTGCATTTGCTGCAATCGCCATAGTATTTCCTCTTAGGCATTTTTATGCCAATTATTTTTGGAGAATGAAGAGTCTTTAGCTTATTGTACTAACATTAATATTTTTTTTGTGAAGGGCCCAAGTCAATTGTTGAGCTTTATTATATATTTTCCATGCGGAGAAAGTTCAGGAATAACGAAATAAACTTATGGGATTCAAATTTTTACCCTTCATTTTCTGGAAACCTACTTATTGATAATGTTCCCGATAGTGTGCCCCAAAATCAATGGTTGTCATTTTTTGACTATCATTTGAGGTCAAATTATCAGGTAATTGCATAATAATATTGTTTACTTATAAATTTTTTATATTTTAATTTTGAAAGCTGACATTTTTTTGTTAATAGGTTTTGTTTTGAACTTATATGAGTCATATATAATATAGGAATTAGAGGCGGGACATGATGTGGATCAAAGTGAATTATATATTGCAACTCACAAGAAAAAAATGTCTCTTATGAGAATTACGAGACAATAATTGTGGTGGTAAGTTTAAATAAATTGAGGCTTTACTAGAATAATTTTAGTTGAACTATATATATATGGGTCAGGATCATTTTACACCAGTGTAAGTTACACTCTCAATCTTATCCGTTGATTCCATTTATATCTAACGGCTAGATTTTTTTAGAAATGTGAGCCATTAGATACAAGTGGATCAATGGTCAAGATTGAGTGTAAGACTTCTAACTCTTACACCGGTGTAAGAATATCCTGCCCTATATATATATATATATATATATATATATATATATATATATATATATATATATATATATATGAGGTAGGATCTTTTGACACCGGCGTCAAATTTGAAGTTTGACACCTCATCTGAGAGCCGTTAGATAAAAAAAGATCAATGGTATCACACTCTTATAAATCAGAGTCGTTGATCTTTTTTGATCTAACGGCTCTCAGATGAGGTGTCAAGCTTCAAATTTGACACCGGTGTCAAAGGATCCTGCTTCTATATATATATATATATATATATATATATATATATATATATATATATATATATATATATATATATATATATATATATATATGGATTTTATATTTCTACTGTTACTGGAAAAATAATTTTCTTCTGCGACAAATAACGACGTCGTTTAATATGAGTCATTTCGCTCCACCGTCATTTTCTTTCTTTTTCCTAAGCAAAGCCCACATTTAGTACCATTTCGCTCCACCGTCATTCTTCATCTCCACAACTAGCAGATCCTATTTGCTTGCAAAATCCCAATGTAAGATCCATATGCACAATCCACAAGAGAACATTCATCAAGCAAGGTGAAAGAAAAAGGATGAACCGCGCAAGAAGAACCAGAGAGGATATTACGTTGTACCTGAAATTCTTTGGGAGAAGTGATACCACCAATCGAAGGGTTGCTGGAGTTGGGAGTGCAATGGGGTTTTGGTAGCATCTTGGCCATCCTTGTTGTCAGCCTTCTTCCTCTTCTTACATTGGGGTTTTGCAAGCTAATAGGATTTTGCTGGTTGGAGATGAAGAATGACGGTGGAGCGAAATGGTACTGAATATGGTCTTCGCTTAGGAAAAAGACAGAAAATGAACGTGAGGCTCATATTAAACGACGTCGTTATTTGTCGCAGAAGAACATTATTTTTCCAATAACAGTAGAAATATAAAATCTATATATATATATATATGTGTGTGTGTGTGTGTGGTAAAATCATTTCTATAGTCGTTTTACGTACAACAATGACAGGTGTATGATGATGATTTCTCACATTTAATGCTTTCATCCTTTATATGGTTATTCTTACCCGCATTTAATGCTTTCAAGTATATATATGACAAGTATTTGATTGCTGGATACAACAGTTGCAGAAATATAAATCTATATATATATATATATATATATATATATGTATATCTTGGCAATTGTACCTCCAATTCCAGTGACTCTCTCATTTGGAGATCGATAATCCCAATTAGCCATAACTTTAACTATCCTCTGGTTTGCTGAATTATTACTAAAGAAAAGATGATCTGCGATGGAATTTATCCGTCGCAATTTCGTTATAAATTATCAATTTCCGTTGCAAATGACCAAATTCTGTCGCTAATTAGAAATTTGTTCATTTTATATTATTATTTTTGTGTGTTTTAATTCCTTTAATTTATCTGTATAAGCAGGAATTATATATCGGTATTCATTGAGACAACCTAAGAGATACGGTTCCAAGTGGTGGGTCCGGGGGCCTTACTAAGTTCTCGTAGTACCGGTATTTGAGCGTGCACCGTTATGGAATTGTTTTACAATAATTACCACAATTACTAAGTTCCCATTATCGTAGTGCAGTGCTCTCCGATCAAACTCTCACACAATATCTACTAAGTTCCTATACATGCATTATGTGTATTTGTACATATTCAAATCCTTAGTAAGTTTTGTGTGTATTACATTTATCATTAGCCTTGAATGTTGAGCCAAACTCGGTAAGGCAAAGAGCAAAGAAGTCTGTTGATATTTCAATTTTGTTCAAAGAAGTTAGAAAAGAGTGATTTACGTAACTATATTTATTCTTACAACTTTTTTTTGCTTAATGTTTTATGAGTTTTATTTAATGAAAAAATAAATAGTAGGAGGATATTGAAGATTTGCTCGGTGAAGGGACCAAGGTGACAACTATAAGCCAATGAAAATTACTTGCTTACAATTTACACGTCAAGCTCAAGCCCATTCAAGTGAATTTTATTGAAAAAGAGAGAAACGAAGTTTTTAAAAAGGATTTTGGTATCTAATATTTGACGGTGAATGTCCTTAATGAGAGGAGATTAAGTATGAGTGAAAGAGAGCTTTTCATTGACAGTTTTATTTTTAATGTGACCAACATTATTCCATTTTAACAGCATTCAAACAATAGATATATTGTGAAAGAAATATTATTTTTAGCTTCGATTTAATGACGTACGTATATTCTGTTTAAGATTCGAAAGACGTTTATCATGAATGAAAGTTTAATATAATACATAAAAGTAGTAATTAAAGCTAGCTTTAGTATGAAATGTCTTGATAATTTAAAATGTAAAATTTTCCAATATATTACCATATGAATTTTTAATTCAATATCATAATACCGAACATGTTTGGAACTTAATTTTATGGAAAAGTATTTCTGTTTTCGGTAAGCTTAAAATGACATTGTTTTGGATTATAAGATTAAAAAATTATAATGATAAAGACTAATATAATCCTGCAATATATTAGAATTACAAAAATACATTGATTTTCGCTCTAAAACGACGTCATTTTAAGCTCACCGTAGATAACTTATCTCCGTTGACTTGAGAAATCTTTTACCCTAATTTTATATCCTATTAGCCAAAACCAAAACTTTTTTTCTGATTTGAAAAAGTTTGAAAACCCCCGCAAAAGTTGTGTTAAAAGGGATTTTTTATCCCGTTATCATCCTTACAAGATTTTATCTTTTACTGAACTACTGATCCTAGTCCATTGCAACTGTTAGAGTTAAGTTTGTATTGGTTGATTCTTTTGCCCCGCCCCTTTGAATCCATCTTCTTCCTCCTGATTACATGTTGCCAAATGTTTTGTAGCTCCTCAATTCTAATGGGTTTCAACAGATAATCACAGGCCCCATGAGTAATTCCCTTCATCACCATCTTTTGGTCATCATTTACTGACAACACTGAAATCAAACATTTAAGTTTACTTTGCACTTGCACACTAAATTTTGTATCTATCAATCAATTCTGAAACTCAACCAAAATCCAACAAATCTTTGGTAGTGATGAACAGGGGTGGACCCAGGGGGCGTTAGGGTAGGCGGTCGCCCCCCTCAAAATTTGAAGAAATTTTTTAACATAAGTATAATACAAGAAATCTCCATTTTCTCTCTCCATTAATGTGAAGTTGTGTTCTCCCACCGCAAAGAGTTTATAGAACTTCTTTATATTCTCAAGTCCTATATATATTGAAATCCCTCTAACTCTGATTGCAGTTTCTACTTGAAACTTACAGTTTCAAGTTGTATTATGCTTAGATGTTAGCACAAACCTTCTCATCCATAAATAAAAATAAGAAGTCCGAGAGTCTTATGAAAGAATGAACCTTATTCTTTCGATCCCTCTCCTTTTCTGATGATTCGTGACAGAGAGGGAAGTGAGGGGCAGAAGGGTTTTGGTGATTGTGCTTCTTGGCAATCTGTCTCTTCTAATTTATCTTTGGCTTTTTTTTCTTGTTGGGCTAACAGTGAGTGAATAGAAAAAGAGGTTAAGAAATGAGAGGGGTCTACCTCCAAAAAAAAAATAAAAATGAGAGGGGTCTGCTTTGAATTAGCTATTTAGATTATAGTAATTAGTACATATTTTTTGTGAAATCTAAACATTTGTTCTCTTCTCTCTTTTTTTGTTTTCTTTGCATAAATAATGTTCATTTTAGGGGTTGAAAAGGTATAGTTTTTTTTTCAAATTGATAGTAGATTTTACGGTGACATCTTCCACCTCTCTCTGTTTTCTTCTTTCTCTCTATAATAAGTTAAAAGAGGTATTTATGAGTTAGGTTCTATGGATTAGGGTTTCGGCCTCCCACATATTGTGGTTGAAAAGAGGAATAAATATTTAATTTTTCGTATTTTGACTTTTCATAAATTATGTTTGAAGAGAGAAACAAATGTTTAAATTTTAGCCCCACACAAAAAAAATCCATGGGTCCACCATTGGTGATGAAGCACACAAAATTTAAATAAAATATATACAAAAAACACCATAAAACCAAAACATCAGTAGGTGAGAAGAAAATCTAAATATATTAAATATCTAACTTCATTAATAAATAACTAACGATATATCAATAATCAATCAATCATGTGGATAAAATTAAAATAAATAAGAACAGAAAAAAGATGAATAATTGAAGATTGCATATAAGATTATCACATACTAATGATAGGTAGGTCCATATAAGATAAATATATTTAAAGTGATTTGAGAAATATTTCAAGCTGCTTGAGATAACTTTATCTCCATTTACCAAAAAAAAAAACTTTATCTCCGGCTACTAAATCATAACCGTACAAAGATGAATCAATGATGATAAAGGAAGAGAGAGAAAAAGGGAATCGTAACCATTCAAAAGTAAATCAATTAATATAAGAAATTAAATAAATAAAACGACGTAGTTTTGGGGTGGCCGGAGATAAACTTATGTCAAACTACTTGAGAAATGTTTTTCCCATATATATATATATATATATATATATATAAAAGTCAAGATCATTTTATATAATCTTGTCCATTGATCCCATTTATATATAAGGGGTTTACTTTAGATAAGGTTATCTACAACTACCCAACATTTACATCGTTTTGATTAATGAATGGTGTTTCTGTAATTTTAGGTAAATTAATAAAGGGTGTTTTCGTAATTTTGTTTAATTCACCTAAAATTATAGAAACACTATTCATTAATCAAAACAACGTAGTTTTTGTTATCAAAAAAAAAAAAAAAACAACGTAGTTTTTGGAATAACTGTAGATAAACTTATCTAAAGTGGTTGTAGAAATATTTTTTTCCATATATATGTATATAATAAATCGATACTAAACTACATTTAAGGAAGAATTTAACAAAATGCACACACATGTACAATTAAAGTGATTCACAAAAGGGAAAAAATAAAAATAAATTTTTTAGATGTTATGAAAAATTCTTTTCATGAGTCATTTGGACGAATCATGAACTTCTACATGTATATATAATAGAGATGTCCAACTCACATAAAAAATTTATGGTAACTATTAATACTTTTAAAATATTCATTTCAAATTCAAAATTTTATGTTAACTATTAAAAGATGAGAAAAGTGTTTGTCCTTTTAAATGGCACAACTTATATTCTTTCACTCTCACAAAGAGGTGAGACCCACATCTTTATATTTTTCTGTGTACTCTCTCTCCTCCTTTATCTATCTCTTTCTCTTACTTAAAATGACACAACTTTACATCCTTTAAAATAATACACACTTTTCCCTTAAAAGATAAGGCAAACTTATTCAATTAGGAGTGCTTTTACTTTTCGATTTATATATGAACAAACATGTGTGATTTGGGCAGTGGTCATTTTCACGTGGCTGTACTATATACTACAACACTATTAAATCATCGTACTATCTTTCCTACAGGTGTATAATATAATTTCTAAAACTAGTCATAACAATTATCCTTTAAATAATTTTGAAATGACCTATCTTTATAATTTTAAGAGAAAAATATTTATTCTTTTAAATGATATAATTTGGTTATTTCACTTTTGTTAAGGTGTGAGACCCATAACTTTATTTTTTTTTTGGTCCACTCTCTTTCTTATATGATCTATCTCTTTCTCTTATTTAAAATGACACATACTTTTTTCTAATTTAAAATGTAACAGTATTCTAGTAATACCGTCACTACAAAAAAAATGAATGATTAGTGGAGTTTTTTTAGTGTAGGTCAAAAAAACCTCCACAATTTGACATTATGTTTTGCTATTTAAATTGCTTGAAAATATATAATAACATCTACTACAAGAATGAACTTTTTTTTTTGGTGTAAATAAAACGTCTTTTAACCATATACATTTAGGGTTTTACTTTTATCCTTTAACATAACACAACAAACTTTCCTACTCTTACAACATTTTGTGGGGCCCACACTTTTTAAAACAAAAATAAATAAAAAATTAAGGCACGCAAAACGAATCTCTATAACATTACACAATCATCATAAGCAGCCTGCATACCTTGATCACTGACCAGGATCCTCATAACATATATCATCAGTACATCATCATAACATCAAGATCATATAACATCTATATGAATGTGAATGAATGCACATATACATCATACCATACACTTTCATACAATACAACCATAATGCCCACCATTATGGTGGGGCCACAAGAGAGAGGATACAACTAGAACTAGGAGCTTACTTCACTGAGACTATCAATATCCCAACTCCAACAGTCAAATACGTATGTTCCACTACACTCTCAAGTGCCAAGCTCTCTAGGCAAACCTAGAGCAGGAATCATTTACATTAATAGTTCTCAATCACTTAATGATTCCACATTTCATTCTTACATGCCAATAATATGTCCATCACAAGTCTAGACCAATTATTACTTATTACATATTTTAGTGCATTATAAAGTGTTCACTTATTACAAAATCAATCATGTAGTTTTAGCACTTTACATAATCTTAGAATCACACTCTAGGATCACAAGGATAACTTAGATTATTTTTAACTCATCCAAGCCATATATATAATTATTATAAGTTACTAAGGGTTCTTATAAGTCCTCTCAGCCTAAATATCACTTTTACAGTTTTTCCATAACTGTACATGCTTCTGTTTTCTAGTCACTGTGCGCAACTCACTTGTTATAAAGTTCTCATCTTTTAGTATGTTAATCTAAACTCAATTAAATTTCCAACAATGTATCACATGTCTCATTTGGAGTTTTCTAGCTCCGGTTATCACCATTTAAAGTTGGACA